AAATTTGCTAATATGTTGAATTTTTTCTACTCCAATTTGTAAAAATAAAAAATATACTTTTGTAGATTTTTCTGTTCGTTTTCTTAAATTATCCCGACTAACACCTGATTGAAGTCTTTCCAATTCATTATAAAGTCTAGTTGTTGCCTTTTTTTTAAAAATTCTATTGCTAGACATTATTTCTGTAAGTTTACGTTCGAAGTTTTCACCATACTTGTACCACCATTTGATTGTTTCTCTTTTGATTCTTAATTTTTTTATTTCTGCTTTACATGTATGATCATACAAGTGCACCAACATTTGTAGGCTTATTGTCTGCCCATTCTTACTCATTTCTTCCTCTATTTCCATCTCATTCTCTTCATCTGTTTTCACTTCGTCAATGTCTGGATTTAAAATTTCGTTTATAAATTCTTGGACTTTTTGATTAATCCGAGTGTTTGCAGTTGTTTCACCATTACTCTCATTTTCAGCCTCATCATTTTCAGCCTCATCATTTTTGTTCTCATGTTCATTTCCATTCTCACTCCCATCTTCATTTTCAACTTCATTTTCACCTTCAACTTCGTTTTTACCTTCAGAATTACCATTTCTTTTGTAAGGTTCATTTACTTTATAATATTCATTTCCTTCGTATTGCGAAGATAATACGTTGTGTCTATTTTCATCACATTCTATATTTTGTGCTTCAGTAGAGCTACTTGCTAAAACATTTAATATTGTATTTCGTATATTTTCATTATGGCAAATAGGACAAATATTAGGGCGATAATCTTGTATATGATAACCAAAAATATAATCATAGTGAAAAATATAATGGCAGTTAAGTATAGTGATAGAATCAATTATGTTTGATGAAATGCTATCTTGACAGATTATACATATATCAGAATTATTAAGTTCATTGTTAATGATTTTTTGTAAAAAAATTTTTAAGACGAACATGGTATTTTTTTTTTTTATCTTAATTATTTACATTGCTTTTTTTTTTAAATATATATATATATATCATAATAATATACGTAACTCTAACAATTATATAAAAATCTAAGTATATAATACTGACCTGAATTTAACGAGATAAGCTCTAAAGGCAATTGTAATTTCGTATGTATGTCTAAGTAAATTTATAATAACCTACCATTTTTTACATAATTATATATCAAATTTTAATAAGTTGTTATCTCTTCGATCATCATGGACCATGTTCTACGATATCTCATGTGAGTTTCTTTTATTGTATTGTGAACAAAGTTCATAATATCACATGGGAGTTTCTTCTATTGTATCGTGAATGAAGAATTCACCAGGACGACCACAAAAATTTCGGGTCATGTGACTGAGATTTTTTTTAAATGATTAAACTTTTTTTAACTTCTAGTGAAGGTTTCCTAATATATTTAACTGAATCCAATAAAAATTTCTTATTTAATTCTATAACTTCATAGAATTAAAATAAAAAAAATTTCACCGAATTTTCACTATTAGTTATTGAGAAATCTTTACTTAAAAGCTTAAAAAATTAGAATGTCTTAAAGTAAATTTTGGCTGCAGCTTCTTTTTAACAGACTTTCAACTTTGAGCGGAAATTTCTTAATAATTACCTGACCAAATTATATTAAAATTTTTTTTTTTTAATTCTATAAGTTTATAGCATTAAATCAAATATATATATAATTTTATCAGAGATGGTTTAAATGGGTACCCCCCTAGTTGGGGTACAGGTACGGCAGATAGTGTAGAACCTTCGGGCGGACTACTTA